TTTCTTCTTGTTTCTTATTTACCCCTATTAATAAAAAGCGATTTGTTAAAACTATCGCAAGATTACAATTAATTTAGAAAATACCGAATTATTTTTAAATGAATTTGAAACAACATAATATTATTTAAAAAAATATATATGATTCTTAAAAACTACAATCATGAAATGTAGTTGACCTTGCCATATGGGTAAACCATTCAAGTGCAATATTTTTTTTTTTCTCTAACTTCCCTACTAACTAAATAGTTGAAGATTCCTGCAACTTACCCTTAAATTTTTAAATGGTAGGTGAGAGAAAATCAGCCTTTTTATTCAAAAAAATATATAGTAAAAAATTTAGTGGTACGAAGCATAAAATCTGAGTTACTCTATGAGCAGGGAAGGATTGTTTTGTTGTTAACAATGTGAAAAAACGAAAAATAATTTACTATTTATTAAACCACCAATATTATAGAAATATACTAGTGGGGCACACTTGTACCAAGTCTAAGAAAACAGGGGCATCAAATAATGCCATTTCGGTAGCCGCGGAGGAGGGAGAGAGAGAACTTGGCTGGCATTTTATTATAGGACCGTTTATAGATTCATCAATGAAAATTAAATTTAAATATATACCAACTACTTTTTATTGGTAAGTATATGAAAAGACCGAAGTTCAACCTAATTAGAGAGAAAATATTCAAATTCACGGCCTTTTGATCAGAGATAGGTGTCTTAACCATTTTAACTATGCTCGATTTAGTAGAAAAATCGATATTAATATACCATCATACTGATGAAATGCTCTTTTTGGTTGAGCATTTGAACTTTATCCGAATTGATATGCCTTCTTGATATAAATTTATATGCCTTCCTAATTATTTCAACTTTATTCTTTTTTTTTTTTTAAAGCAAAACCTTCATCAGATAGATAACATTGCCACGTGTGCTACGATGCTTCTCTAAAAGCCTATTGTAGAAGCCCAGAGGGAAACGAATTAGACCAAAATAAAGATGTCTTCGACGCTACTGCCTCAGACGCCAAATGGTGAGCTAAGCCATTCGCCTTCCAGGAAACATACCTGAAAGAGGAATCACCAAATGAAGCCAAATTCTTAATATCCTTGATGATTGTTCCATCTTCGCTGATGATTTCAGAATGGCTATGAAGAGTTTGAACAGCGGCAACGAGTCTGACTCCAGAATGCAACTAGGGAAGTTTCGATGAACGATACACCAAATTCTCTCCAAAATAGCCATGAATTCGACTCGGAGCGGAGTATAAGACGACAGGAGAACAAGTTGAACAGCAGCTAAAACTCGACCGGCATAATATGAATAATAATTTTATGACCTACAGAGTTTTGGAATAGATTTTACTAGGACCTCATTTGCTTCTCTTTTTTTTTTCTTTTTTTAATAAAGTTAAAAATGTTGAATCAGACCCTTGACAAGTATTAAATATTCAGATGATATGGAATGATTGAAAATGTTGATATCAACACAATTTAACATGTAAAATTGTTACAAATTTGTTTTCGTGTTGTAACTATGAAATTATACCACTGAAAAAATGCACTGAGATAATCGTCAAATATATATGTACAAAAAATATCACGACCATGAATATTGTATTACTTTTCTATTCGTAAGTTACGCTCATGCAATACTTTATCCACCATTTTACTCCATCTTAATCTGTAGTTTTTGCCAAAGCCGATGAGGAGGAGGAATAGAAAAAGGCTAAACTTGGCAAGAAATTGTCAAACTTTCTTCTTCAAAGCTAATGATTTAATAAAGCGACTGGTTTTGAATAATAATCAATTAATTAAAACTTTTGAAATATTCTTCTAATTCGGTTGTTTCTCACTACGCCATATTGTCTCCATTATTGCTTGTTTAAGAGGCATTTTTATTGTTTTTTTTCCCTCTCCTTCTAATTACACTTCATGGTTGACCTTATAAATAATGATTAAATTGAATTAATCTCATCTCTTAATATAATTTAAACGCCAGAATAAGAAATCCATGACTGGGTCATTTTAATTTGACAATAAAAAGTATTATTTTTCTATAATTATAATGAAAATATCATAGTTCTATTTGATTAGGACTTTGTAAGTTTTATTAATTTTACACTTTTATAAATTAAACTTCATTATTCAATTTTCACCTTTTTTTTTTTTTTTTGGTTAAATCGCTTCGAAATCTTAACTAGTCAAAAAAGACAAAAAATGACAATAATAATAATAAATAAATAAATAAATTGATCCGTTTAAAATGGCTCTGTTTTTAGTTTTATCTTTTATGTTTTCAAAATCATAATTATTTATAAGCATTTGTTTTGTAATCTAGCTTTTTAAAACCTAAAAGAAAAGGAGTAGTTTAAAAAATTTTCCCAACCCATCTTATAATAATTTTAATTTGTTTATTTTTAAACATCAGAATAAAAGTTACTATTCAATTTATTTTCTCATTTTTAAAATCTTAACTAAATTATTTTTATAATGCAGACAGTTTGTCTCATTTTATTCTCAACGTCAATATTTAAGCGATAATTTTATAAGTTTATGCAGCTATGGGATAGAGTTAATAGACAAGGTTTGACCAATACTAATTACAAGATGATGTGTATTTAATTTTCGTGCAAATTTATCGTCAATAGATCTTTAAAGTGTTCATAACGTGATCTCAAAATAAATGAAATTTCATAGAGAATTACTTAGGTATACCTCACTTTCTATGCCAATTGCCAACTTAGTTACGCTTAATTTGCAGTTTTATTTACTTTGGTTCTTTCTAACTTAAAATTGAGGCAATTATCTTCAAACCCTTATTTTTGACCAAATTCATGGCCGTCAATTGAAGGCAACCTTTCTTAATCATACTGAAGGCCTGCAAATTGAATAACTCTAGAATAATATAAAATTATATATTCCGCACCGTCAAAGTGAAAAATAATGGAAAGTAAATCTATAGAGATTGCCTAAAATTCAAAATATATTTAGGAAATTAGTCATAATATATCATGTCATACAACTTTTTTAAGCACTACTTTCAAGAACACATAAATGAATAATGTTACCGACTCTACATGATTAGTATGATACCATGCCATAAATTTGTTTTCCAATTTTGTCCAAAGTGTTCTCGTTTCTTAATTCTTATAAATTCATCGAAACTTTCAAAATAATACTATATTGCTATTTTTGAAATCACAAGTGATAAAAATCAATCTTGTTCGTAAAATGTGACAATTCAAGAGTTTGAACATACGATCTCTTACTTTGATATCACATAAAATTACCAATCAACCTAAAAGTTTGAACTCATAAGTCAGGATAAATTTAATTTTTATGGATATTTTAACACTTTGTAAGTTCTTTTATTTATTAATATGGATGAAAATACTACTAAGGATGAAAAATATTTATAATTTAATATTAACTTTTAAATACCAGGTAAATATTTCTATCAATATAACAAAACAGAAAGTTAAGTTTCTGATAATAAAACGCGTGTGATTTTCTAAAGAGTAAAAAAGACATTATTTTTAGTTAATTTAGAGGCCAAAAAACACATACAATGTGAGACAATAAAGCATTAATCAGGTTTTGTGACTTTTGTCTTTGATATTCTTAGTCGCTTTGTAGTCATCGAAACATGAAGCAATTTAACTTTTTGCCTAACTTTTCCCTTCAAATTCAATCATAAGAAAAATTGGCCCACATTAATTTAAACACCATTCAGCTTTGAAGTTTGAACTTGACCAAGAGAAAAAAAAAAGTTGAGGGAAATTTCAGCACAAGGAAATGAAGCGAGTGGATGATTTTAATATCTTATAAATAATGTAATTTAAAATATACGCTACCTGTTTTTTCTTCCATGAAAAACTTTTTGAGTTTTGACAAGGTCTTCAGGTCTCTTCGTGTACCTCCAAAAAAATATATATATATATCTATTTTGGATTTTTTCTTGTAGATGTAGAGTTCATAAATGTTAATAAATTACCTAATTTGATTTCGATTGTATCAGTTAATTATATTTTTGTATTTTATTAATGCAGGAATGTTAAGGTCAACCTTCAGTTTGCTTGCAAAATAGTGAAAGATGATTAAGAGATCGAGCTAATAATGTAAAACAAGATCAATAAATAAGTAATTACGTGAGTAATTGCATAATATAAAAACAAGAAATTATTTAAAAGCTAGACAAATCTTATTGCTTGATATAACCATTTTCAATTATGGATATGCATTTAACTACAAATCACAATCAGACAAAGAGATGATCTATAATGAATCATAATTATCAAGACTTCTAAATTAATTAACAGAGCATTTCTTTGTTAAAATAATTATGGGGGAAAAGGTCGAATTTTCCTAGGGTCTTCTTATATCGTAGAATTTTTTGGCCATACATGGGGTGGATTCACACGATAATGCTTAGCAAAAATATAGAATGTTTGAGAATTCAGAACTCTCTCAACATGAGCAATAGATCAGCTGTAAAAGATGTATATTTTATTTTCTTGTATTAAAAAAATCTCTCTATAAAATTTTCTAATGGATGATTTTTTCGAATAGGGTATAATTAATTTGTACAGATTTTTTGTTTTATTTACCTTCTTTCATCACTTCTCTACTCTGATAGTTTATAGGCTAACTCCATCACAAAGGATCCATAATCTTTTAGGTTTTTCTTTCTTTTAAAATTTTCAATTTTATTCTCAATGTATTAAAAATTGTCAATTAAATCAAATTCTGTTTTTAAAAAAACAAAAACGTAATAATCAATCTCATATCACACATGTAATCAGACACATGTATATATAATTTCAGTTAAAATTTTATTTGATCACAATTTTACTTTCGATGGCATACAAAGTCAGAGTAAGATTAGGTTAAAATTAATTAGATTATAGCGATATATTTAATTAATTAAACAAAAGATAAATGGTCAATTTGACATATATATATACATAACTCTGCGACCAGAAGCATTCTCTATAAAGATTCGCCTTCCAGTTTCCAGTTCCCAATTCAATTCTTTCTCCACCCGCCGGAATTCAGACTTTCAGACAGGCGAGCGAGGCGGCGAGTGGGGAGTAATGGCGATTAAAACCGGCAACGAACCGAAGAAGATGAACAAGGGAAGCAAATTGAGGGAGCTGGTAAAGGCCTCCGGGCGGCTACTCTCGAGGGTCCGTGACTTCTACATCCGTAGCCTGACGGAGTGCTCGAACCACCTGGACTACGGCATGGCGCTGACCGGGCCCGCCGGTCAGCTCCCTACTCATCTGCCCAAGAGTTACAGCGTGGGGTCCACCGCTTCCAGCCATGGTGGCGACGACTACAGCGAACTTCTGAGGGCCGCCTCCACCAGAAGCCTCAGCAAGAAGATCGAACCGGACCTTCAAGCCGCGAGGAAATCGCCGATGGCCGGACCCAACAACGTGCCGAGGAGCCAAAGCGTGGGGATTGGAAGAATAGACGAAGAGAAGACGTACGAGTTCGAAGAGGATTTCAAGCCGAGTAATTCCGATGCGTACCCGAGGAGCAGAAGCTACGCTGTTCATAGAAGAAGATCGCGGGCCTATTAAACTTTTAAGTTTAAACCCTCCTTTTCCAGATTTGGCATTATAATTATGGTCATTTTGTGGTGGAATTTTATTCCATAGTCTCGTGAAACGATAATCAAAACTATAGAAACTACTCTTTTTCATTTTGATGAATTTGTTTGTATTGTATGTATATATTTTAAATGTAACTTTTTTTTTTCTAATTAATGTCAACGAGGAAGTCGAAATTAGATGGAAGGAAGAGGGTTGAAATTGGGAAGTGCCGGCCGGCCGATTGCTTATTTTTTATCTCCGATCGTAACGCTCATCATCTATGACAACCAATTGGGGATGAAGTATGAATTTTGAACGATTATAAAATGGATCAGTAGACGAAGCCTTTAAATCCCATCTTGGATTTTAATAATGCCTTACCAACGATAAAAGAAAACGAAAAAGTCTAACAACATATTATGGGTGCGTTAATTCGATTTGAGCATGGATAAATATTTACTACTATTACATAGCTCGATCCCACCCTATAGTTTTGAACCAAAAACAAGAACCGATATTGAATTTGCAATTGATTCTAATATTGGGAAATGTGATAACTACTTTTTATTTACAGTTTTCTAAAGGTAATTTTTTCTCATCAATACCACAAATGAAGGGGGAGGATTTGAACCGCCAACTTCAATAAAAAGACTAGATGTCAATCATTAGAAAGTGACATATGAATTTAGAGAGACGGAGAAAAAGATGAGAGAGAAAAGTTAGAAAGTGAGAGATGTGGGAGGTGATTTCTCACCGGCCACGTGTACATATGATATACTCAACAGTGATGAGTTCATTACGAGCTTGTACACATGCTTCTAGAGCTACTCGATTAGCTACGGCACTAGGTGCATTACCCCAAGGGTGCCCTAAAGTTCCTCCGCCGAATTGTAGTACAAAATCATCTCCAAAAATCTCGGTCAGAGCAGGCATATGCCAAATGTGAATACCAACCCAATCTTGAGTGAAATAAATACCGCGACTTCGATCTTTTTCAACATACTCATCACGAAGTAAATCAACAAAGCCTAAAGTGATGTCTCTTTCCCCTTCAATGACTCACACAAGAGAAACTGAACTATTGGAGAAGGTCGCGACCCATGTTCTATGCCAAATCGACCTTAGTCTCACAACTCGGCCCACCTCGACCGCCTAAGATATTAATCGAGCCGATCACAAACTCATACCTCGGACGCCTAAATTATTAGTCGAGTCGACCTATGCTTACTTCTACTGGCACAAACCTCTAACAGAATCCACGAGAACACGCCATGATTCTTGGGCTGTCGAAGAGCGGTTGGAGGGTTTTCAGAAGTTCTGTCGGAAACTAATTAGAGACTTCTCGCCTCATTTTTCAGTACATAAAACTATATTCTCTATCGAGTATAAATCAGTCAATTATTGACTTAGATGTCGACTTCAGAGTGTTTATTCTTTTTCGTTGGTCTCTTACTTGCATTCGCTCCAACTCGTACTTGGTCAAATTCTTGATCAAAGATATGTTAGGGAGAGAATATTAGTTAGAAAATGAAATGAAATATTATAGATAGAAAGTTTAGAAGAGAGAGAGAGAGAAAATTTTTAAGAAGAGGAAAGTTGGAGAGAAAATGAGAAATTTTAGAGAGAGTAAATACTTTTTTTTTTTTTTTAATTTTATTCATAGCGGAGGTTACGAAGCGAGGAAAAAGACGAGAAATTGGGTGGAAAGATAAAGAGATAACACATGCTCCCTAATTTGCTCAGAAGCTTCCACTATGCATTGATTCTGTTACGTTTACCCAAAATAATTAATGAATATAATCATGTATCACATTTAATTTCAAACGGATTGCTAGAGTTGGCATGGCATGGGCGGTAACTGTTTCTGTTCCGATATCACACCAACACAAAGGAGCATCTAGAAAGCTTGAGTCAAAAAATCACCATTACGCCAACCTTCAATTCCTTTTCTTTCATGCTAATTAATAAGCTGCACACTTTTTTTCCCAGACAATTCTTTGAGCTTACAGATTGTTATTCAAGTATTTAAACTCCAACAATGTCACTAAACACATTCTAAATTAATAATTTTTCTAGAAGTGTTCCGATTAAAAGTGGTTGTATTTACAAATTACCTTTTTCAAAATTCATTTTAAACCCAGTAGAGTGTTGGAAAAAAAGAGATAAATTAAAAAGAGAGAAAGAAAAGTTATAATAAAAGAAAATATTTAGAGAGAAAAATAAACTAGAGAGATGTAAAGAAAAGTTAGAAGCAGAAAATTTTATTTTAGTGAATGGAAGATATGTCATAGAGTCAAAGAGTGATAAAAGTTCGAAAACATATTTGAAGTTTTAGATTGTGAAAAATGAGGGAGAAATAGATTTGTTGAAGAGAAACATGTTAAAGAAAAGAAAAATAAAATAAAATGTTAGAAGGAAGTTATGTGAGATTTCGAAAAAAAAAACCCTTGCAATATCAAAACTGATTTTTAAAAATTAAAAACAAAATAAAAGGAAAAAACCCGAAATCGTACCGTAATTTTAAGTTTTATTTTTAAATTTTAAGGACTTATAATTTATTTATTTTGTAGTATTTTTTTATGTTTTAGATTAAAAACCAAATTTATTGTTTTTTTTAAATGCAGTTTTTAAATTTAAAGTATTGGTCAATTAATTTCGTTTTAAAATATTAAAAAAATAAAGTAATTATCAAATGAATGCCTACCAAAAGCATCAACCTGGAAAATTGCGTTTATGTAGATATAAAAAGAAGATAAGATAAAAGAATCAATAAAAGATCTTATATATCATTAGCTAAATTAAAAGCTAAGAAAATACATAAATAGTGTTTTTATTATTTATTTATTTATTTTTAAGATTTGGATGCTGAGAAATATGTATAAAATCCTCCTAATTTAGATATCAGTTCCATTGACTTGGATTTTGTGTCTAATCGGGCTGTTTGATTCAAAGAATTAAAAAAATCCATATTTAATTTTACTCCCTTTGACAATTTGACTCGAAGATATTATATATTAAATATAATTTTGGCCACTTTCACGAACTTGAGGGATTGAATTATTCTTTCAACTTAAAGAAATGTTGGTTATAATAATTTAAGATTTCTTATGAACTGACGCCATCAAAATTATGTTGCATCTAAGTTTCCACTTTTGAAAATATTACATACTCCTCCCAAGAAAGAAAAAAAAAAAGCTCTCAAATATTTAGGAACTTTCCATCCAACAAGCATCATTTGAAAATTTTTCTAAGAATGGTCTTTGATCTTTGAAGTCTTGAGTTCAAGTCGGGACATAAAAGTCAAAAGATCGTTGACTCTGGGATAATTAAAAAAAATGTCAACTATTAAATTTTCTCCCAAGAAAATTTACTATTTCCATGAATCAATGTCCAACATATACCTATGTATGCATAGGTATACACAAAATTCGCTAAGATCGCTTCCAAAATAAAATCCAGATCAATTTTGAATAATGCATCCAATATTAAAAAGTTTTCAGCCTGCCACATTTTAGCAACTACATTTAATAATTTTATTTTTCTATTGATGGGATTCACGCATAGAATGACAAATTTCATAATATATTTTTTTTAAAGTTCACATCAAACTTACTCACCTGACTCATCTTTATTTTTAGGGAAATTCTACGGAGAAGTATACGAGTAGCGTCTCTGATATCACAATTTTAAAATTGTCCATACTTCACCTTAGAGTGTCTCTAAAACTCAAAAGGGCTAAGATTAATTAAGAGAGAATGAGTTCAAACCTCCTACATTAAGAATTAGTAATTTAACATTAGAAACAACTTATCCATCGACCACTTCTTAGAAATGGTTGAGAATCCCCAATCTCAAATACGCGAGAAATGATTTTTATATTCATTACGAATGATTTGAAGTTATATTTTTAGGTATATACTACATATACTTTGTAATGTTAAATAATATTTCTAGTCGGTATATTTTCGATATTTATTATGAATGATACGAAATTACTTATATTGAGTATGTATATGCTACCTAAAGTATATAATATTATATAATATTTTACCTTTGTAAGGTTAAACTTTGAAGTTATTGATATCATAGCATATACTTTGTTTTAATTTACTAAGAACATCAAGAAAACTAATGTTCCTTGTCACCGGTGAAAATGTTGAGATACTAGGTGCCGCTAAAAAATAAACGTTGTTGTATTATTGTTTGAGAAAATTAATCAAATGCAAGAAAGCTAGTAGCAGAAACGATGAACAATTGAAAAAATAACAAATGATATAATGCAAATAAAATACATAATCAGGAGAAAACAATAGTTTGAGAAAGTAAACCACTACATGAATAAAAGCAGAGTCGCCCAAAACTGAAAGAGAATAAAGTGGGAGGATAATTTCACCCATAATTTTGGTATCCCAACACATAAGTATAATTAAATTGAAAACTTTTTTTATTCGTTAAATTCATTAATTAAAATATATGCCTTAATAAACGACCATTACTATATTATAAAAGAATCAATTGGAAAAAGAAAAATGTAACGGAAGAAATTAATTGGGAGTATTTTGAGAACAAAAGAGTATTTTAATGGTGTAAATCATTTCTATTCCAGTGGTGACATGGGCCTTATCTGAATCCCTCTGAGAATGAACCCACAATTCCGACAACGGTCATCGAATTTCTTCATACGAAAAACAATTGGGCGATTGTTAAAGATTTGGGCCATTTCAATTTCCAACCATCCATCCCCTCTTTTTTGAGGATTCCCTTTGGGAGCAGGGTGTAATTGCACCAGCCTGTTATTGCCTTCCTCAAACTTAGTCCTTATTAGAAGACGTCTGCAACCACAACTTTTGTTTACTATAAGCTTGAACACAAGATAAGCTGCATAATTGGTTCTCGGACTTAAATTTCTGCCCTCTATCTTTCCTTTCACTTTAAACCATGGTTCGATGTACAAATCACCCACTTGGAAAAACCTGGAATTAGGGACAGATTCCCATGTCCAACTTGACAATCTACACTCCATAATATGTAGATCTCTTGCTGCTATCATAATATATTGTCTCCCACTCTCTTTCTCCAACGCAATAATCTATTCAATCGCAATAATATCAACAAATTTTCAAATGCTTAAATTTCTAGTTAAGGAAAATATAAAAGTACATAAAGGGTATAGAAATTCATTTGAGGTGTGAATTAGTATTTTTTTTAAAACTATTTCTGTTAAAAAAAAAAAAGACGGTGATATCAAACCTACATATTAAAAAATTATGTCTCATAAAAAACTACATATTATGAATTAGGGGAAAAAAGTAGTATGCCGATGGTCCAGCCATAACATCCTTTAGTATTTTTTTTTTAATATTAACAATCGGACTGAAAATTTCTTGTTACATTTTCTAATTTGTCAAAATATAATTATAAATATTATTCTAGAGTCATGCAATTCCAATTTGTTTCAAAAAAATATATATTATTTATCATTATTGAATTTTGTAGTCCTGCCATTCTATTTTTGAGTTAATATAGAAACGGGTATATTACCAAATGTCAAAGTCTTTAAATCGACGTCAAAAATCAAAATCTAGTTGAAAAAATTACCGAGTTTCCAGAGTGGATGCGAAGAGGATGATCGCAGAGATGGAAGTAGAGAGCCTTCTCAGACAAGGAATTCAGAAGCGAAGAAGATGATGAAGATGGCGCCTGAGCAATAATCTCACGGTAATCCGCCGGCAAAAAAGTCTTCCACAGAGTGTTGGACTCGGCCGCTGATCGGAACGCCGACGAGACCGCCGCCGAACTGCAGATATCCTTCGGCGAAGTGAAGGCCATAATGCGAGAGATGCAGTCCGCCGGTAGTCTGTCCATGTCTGATTTGGTTTGATTTTCCACTATCTTTCGTTGAGAATTAAAAAATGCGTTGAATTCTCTTTTTATCTTACTCGGAATGAAAAGATTTTAAACGAAAGTAATTAAATTTTATAGTTGGGTACTTGGTTAATTTTGGGAGGATACAGAAAAGTGAGAAAATAACTGGTAGTATTTTACTAAATTGTTCGAATTTTGATACCAACTTAATAACTTATTTATAGTATTGTAATCTCTAATCATACTTCAAATAGGAAATCTTAATCCTATTTTAAATAGGAAATTTCATCCAATTAACATAATATACACTGACCAGGAAAAAAATGGATAATCAATTCCTAATTAAATCTCATCAATTCCTAATTAAATCTTAAGAGATGTGAATTATAATTCAAACTAGGTAATCTAAACACTATCTTAATTCAAATAGCATTATCTAATAATAATTCAATAAAATATTTTAAAAATTTAATGAGTTTATAGTTTATTTATTTCACCATTTTCTAAATAAATTAATATTTATGTTCAAAAATGAAAATTAATCCTGAGTTAAAAAATTTCTTGAAATTTTAATAAATTTAAAAACAATATAATTTTGGAAATCTCTTAAATTGACTTTTTGAAATAAATACAAATGTCACGTCATTTAAATAAATAGTTATTCACTTAGTCTCTCGAACTTCTACTATAGCTAATGAGACTAATTGAAGTTTGACTTCAGATAATTTTTAGAAACCTATGTTTAGGAATCAAAAATATATTTTACTCCATATATATAAATTTTTTTAAAAAATTCCATTCTATTTAAATTTTGGTAATTTCTATTTTAACAAATATGAAATGTGATAAGGGCATTTAGACCAATTACCCAATTTTGATGTGAAGGGATTTTGAATAGGCAATTTAGCACAAATACCCTCCAAACGCGAGCAGGGGTGTTTCTTCGAGTTGGCAAAACCCTGAACCCTAACCCTAACGCTCTGTTCCTACTTCCTTCTGTAAACAAGCAATTACCAGCATCGGCTGTCACCATGGCGGAGGTGAAGCTCTCGGAGAGCCGTGATCTAACGCGAATTGAGCGCATTGGGGCGCACTCCCACATCCGTGGCCTCGGTCTCGATTCCTCCCTTGAACCACGAGCCGTCTCCGAGGGGATGGTTGGCCAAACCGCCGCTCGTAAGGCCGCTGGGGTCATTCTTCAGATGATCAAGGAAGGAAAAATTGCCGGTCGGGCTGTTCTCCTCGCTGGTCAGCCAGGTACTGGCAAGACTGCTATTGCAATGGGCATGGCTAAGTCCCTTGGCCTTGAAACTCCTTTTGCAATGATTGCCGGCAGCGAGCTCTTTTCCCTGGAAATGTCCAAAACCGAAGCATTGATGCAGGCATTTCGCAAAGCTATTGGCGTCCGAATTAAGGAAGAAACTGAGATAATTGAAGGGGAGGTCGTTGAGGTTCAAATTGACAGACCAGCGGTTTCCGGGGCAGCGTCGAAGACCGGGAAGCTTACTCTGAAAACGACGGACATGGAGACGGTATATGATTTGGGGGCAAAGATGATTGAAGCATTGGGAAAGGAGAAGGTGCAAAGCGGCGATGTAATTGCCATCGACAAGGCATCGGGGAAAATTACTAAGCTAGGAAGGTCATTCTCTAGGTCCAGGGATTACGACGCAATGGGCCCTCAGACAAAGTTTGTGCAATGCCCCGACGGCGAATTGCAAAAGCGGAAGGAGGTTGTACATTGTGTTACACTCCATGAGATTGATGTTATCAATAGCAGGTTTTTCTACTCTCTTTTAGCTTTTTGAACCCCTTTTATCGAGTCGTGGGTCTTGAAATCGTGTAGCTGGGAGGGAAATTGATACGTCTCTTATAGTAATTGGTGTCTGCAAATGATATGCCCTTATACTGTTAGGATTGGAATATTTTGCAAGGTTTAGTTAGTTTACAGTAAGAAGTAATTGAGAAATGGGATTATAGTATCAAATGCCCTTTCATGCTTCATGGAATTTTTGTTTGTTGATTGTTACTGAGAGCTGTCAATATAACTTCCAATGCAACGGGGCGGCAAATAGCAATGCTTTATTCTTCAACGATAACTTATATATCGCAGCCGGATGGTTTTTCCATTAAGGTTTGACTTTATTTCATTTTATTTTCTTCTCCAAGAGGGGGTTAAGACTAAATTAACAAAACTTTAAACTACAACTCAGGTGCTTCAGCTGCTGCATCTTATACTTTGTATTTGTTGCAGATTTGGTTCTGCTTTTCACTTATCAAATTGACTTAATTCTGTATTTTTTAGAATGTCTGATGTCTTGTCTCTGATTCTTTATAATTTGGCTGTCATGCAATGTGTTGTATACACCAGTTTATGGGGTTTACCCGGTTGTTCTGATTTGTGTTTCCACAAAATCTGCTTCTTGCTCTTCTTGACCAACTTCCCTCAGCACATCCAGCTTGAGCTTAGATAAGATAGACCTATTAATGTTTCCAGTCACTACCACTGATCGTAATGCAGTTTGTTCTGTTATTTTTCCCTTCCTCAATTTGTGCTTTCAAGGAGAGTTGAGGGATTCAATTAATGATCTCTGTTTCATGAGACATAGTGTGGGGCGGTATAACTATATCATTTCATATGCTGTGAACTCTTGCCACGACTATATGCATAATGCATGTCTAGCCTGTTGATCTTTTCCCCTCTTTATTGATTTTCCAAGAATGGGAGGAATTGAATTACTGACCTCTGTTCTGTAAGACCCTTTTTTTCAGTACAATATATGTGGGGTGGAGATTTCAACCTCCAAGGAATGAATAGATACTAGATGCCTCAACCATTAAGTTAAACTCATGTTGGCTTGTAAGACCAATTTGTGTGTGACTGCTTACCTCTACTCAAGCATAATATGTTTTTCGCTACTCGAGGAAAATAATTCAAAACACTATTTTCAATGCAATGAAGAACTAATATGTTTCTTTAGTTCTAAAACTTTATATCTTTTTTTCTTTTTGAATAATACGACTTTATATCATTGGTCGTGACTTTAAGTAGGCTTTCCTGATTATTCTCTCTTGTTAAGTATGCAACTTGGCTCAGCTATAAGTTCATTTTTGCCTTTGGGTTTCCTGAGAGTTATGTTCTCGTGTTATTGGCCTTCTCTCTCCAGAACACAAGGTTTTTTAGCTCTATTCACTGGTGATACTGGAGAAATTCGAGCTGAAGTAAGGGAACAAATTGATACCAAAGTGGCTGAGTGGAGGGAAGAAGGCAAGGCCGAGATAGTTCCAGGTGTCCTCTTTATTGATGAGGTCCATATGCTTGATATAGAGTGCTTCTCTTTCCTTAACCGTGCTTTGGAGAATGAGATGGCTCCAATATTAGTTGTTGCTACAAATAGAGGGATTACTACAATCCGGGGAACAAATTACAAATCCCCACATGGAATTCCTATTGATCTTCTTGATCGCCTACTTATAATTTCTACTCAACCTTATACGGAGGATGAAATACGGAAGATTTTAGATATCAGATGTCAGGAGGAAGATGTGGAAATGTCTGAAGAGGCGAAGAGACTATTGACCACAATTGGTGTAGAAACATCACTAAGATATGCCATCCATTTAATCACAGCTGCTGCATTGGCATGTCAGAAACGAAAGGGGAAGGTTGTGGAGATGGAGGACATAAATCGTGTCTACCATCTCTTCTTAGATGTGAAGAGATCAACTCAGTACTTGATGGAGTATCAGAATCAATACATGTTCAACGAATTGGGAGATGCTGAAGAAGATGATTCTAATGCTATGAACACTTGACTGGCACTGGCAGCTTGATTTTTTTGTAGAAGCATTTTGCAAGGCTAAACTGAGGTGTCCTGTAGTTACTGGGAGTGGTGAAAAACCTGCAGTTTATTACCTAGTTATTATTTATATCTTGCTTCGCCACTAGTGTAAGATGTATATCTAATCTTGTTGCTTGATGATGTTGCTTTCATTCTGTGTATCATGGTTCTGTTAGACTGTTTAGTATGTTATAGATATTTCTTTTTATTTAACCCTTGTTTGATATGATTTCTCAGAAGAAGAGTTCGTGAGTTTATGGATTGGAAAGAAGTGCTCCGATTATTATTGTCGTTACTTCGGCTTGGTTGTCAAAAGTTAAGTAACAAGCTTTCCAGCTTAGTTCTTTTTCTTTTCTTGTGTTGAGTTCAACGCAACAATTGTGGACGGGGCATAGAACATTGACCCTACGAATGGTAATAAAGTCTTTATTCACTTGAGCTATATTTAGATGGGTATTTACGGCTTAATTAGACCAAACCTGAAATACTTGATAAATTTAATATTCAAAATATTTCGGTTTAAGATACTGTCTTACATTTTTCTTCATGCCTATTTCTCGGGAATCCCTCTCCAACTCCTGTTTTCTTCGCTTCTGGACGAGATCAAATTCTGTGTTCAATCTCTCAAAGCCATCATTGTTCAATCTCTTGATCTCCGTCCTCCTTTTTCTTTCCTTTTTTTTTTTGAGTGAAGAATCTGTGGTTTCTGGTTGTACAATATTGGTAGTCCAAATTTAAAAAATATCCCAAAATTTCAATAACAAATGGGAATAAATGTTACTGAATTCTTACATTTATACCAGACTTTATTGGACAGTTGTCTTCAATTAGGAGGGCCAGAGCATTTATGTCCTCCCATACATTTACAATAGTAACCGACTGACCAGACTGAAATCAAGTTATTACATGGCGGTAGGGCATCTCTCTCTCCTTTTTCTTTAAGATAATTTTAGATTTTTTTAAAATTAATTTTATCTCTTTCCAAACATGATCATTCTGGAAGAGTGGTTTTGACAATGGTAAAAAGGACTTTAACCATGTCAAAATTACTCTCAATTATATCATTAAACTCAAATATAATTTGATTAAATTGAAATTCATTATTGATTATAGTACGGGCTCATGACACATAAAGCTAAAATTAAGTTCTTTTCCCTCAGATATCTAATAAAACAACTCAATATTATATCTAATTGACATCATATCAAATCAAATCCTTATAAAATACAAACAGTTTCTCGAGACGATGGAGAATCAGAAAAGTCAACGCACATTCCAAACACTCCCCACAAAGATATGGCGAGGCTCAGGTTTAATACAAAGGTCAATACTACTGGAACTAAAGTTCCTTACTTTTTATTATTTATCTTTACCCTTTTATTTTATTTTTTTGTCTTCTTTGGATGCATGTAACGGGTAATTCCTGTTTCCAAGGTCTAGATACTACATGTTACCGACATGTCGACACTGATCCGAATTAAGGTAATCCAATCGTCTTGTCGTAATTGAAATGCGATAATATAAATTTTTTTTTTTAATGTCTCAAATTCAAGTAAAGAAGAGCCAGTCAAGACAATCTCGCATGCACCACCCGACAACATGATGCTTCCATTATACAAAAGTTGGGTAATGTAAGAAAATATTATCCTTCAATCATTTTTTCTTCAGAAAAAAAAAAAGGAAAGAAAAAGGAGGAAATTATCCTTCAATCATGCCATCAGTTTATTCGGACCTTCAAAATCAAATTCCATTGCGACCGACTTTTCACAAGCATCGGCACAACCGCTGGGGAAGCAAGCTAAAGTTTTCAAAAAGCTTAATTTAGAAAATCGTGTTTTCCCTTTACACTCGGATTGATGACTTTAATTACCAATAACAAATTGCCATACAAGGGTTATTTAATTAATACACGTTACCCTTTTTGTCCCATCCCTCGAACACAACAGGTTTAACGTTTCCAATAATAGTGTCAAATCTCATCTCCATTTTAATTTTCCTTTTCCCTCTTCATATGATTAACGATTCAAATAATTCAAACCATCAATTTATAGTCTGTATGGATTTGCCAAACGGTCAAAAATATATAGTATTTATTTCTTTTGCCATTTCGAAATTGGTTGTGTATTGGGTTTTGAGATTGCTCATAAACCCAAAGGAAAAAAAAAATGCTCAAGTTTCTATAATTCATTTTTCTATACAACCCAAACATAGGGGTTTTTTGAAATTTTGTGGATAAATTTAAAATAAATGAGAAAAAACGGGTGTATACGGAATAATTTGGAGTTTTAGGGTGTTGCGTCTGTTAAAGAGACGCAACTAGATGGATTTTAATGAGCGTCCCTTCAAGAGACGCATCTGTCACAACCAAACGGAAAGTAGAACGTCGTTCAAGATTTTTTTAAAATAATTATTTTATTAATTCACATTAATATACCTACTTTTTTTAGTATTTTAAGTTGAGATTTTATTATTTTATATTAATAAATAGATGAATCAAATACGGTTACTTTTTAAGATTTTTTTTTACAATAGGTTGGTTACTTTTTAAGATTTTTTTTTACAATAAAGATTTTATTATTTTATATTAATATAACTATTTTGTATTTTAATTAGGTTAATAATTAACATCTTTTCTAGTAAAATCTA